TACTTGCGGAGAGGACAGACGGATATTCGGGATCTGATATCTCCACCGCTGTGCGCGATGCGCTCATGCAGCCTGTTCGTAAAGTCATCAATGCCACACACTTCAAGCGTGTTCCTGATCCAGCAAATCCTGAAGGCGAAGCTACGAAATTGACACCATGTTCGCCTGGGGATTCTGCAGCAGAGGAGATTGATTGGACAGCGATTGAGTCTGATGAGCTTCTAGAGCCACCTCTTCGATTAGCAGATTTCTTGAAATCTTTGGAAAATACACGGCCGACGGTGACGGCTGCCGATATTAAACGACATGACGACTGGACAAAGGAATCAGGTGTGTTTATGTCCTTCCCTTCTTTTCTGATTTGAACTGTGCTCATTGGTGTGAAGGAAATGACGGAGCATGATAGTCGTTTGTTTTATTTTTGGTCTTGATCGCCTTTGTACTATGACAAATTTTGTGACGACGGGAGACAGACATACCTCAATCTACCAGGGTGGTTATCTCTTTGTATTCATCTCATTTTACTGTCCTTGTTACCTACATGTAATCTAGATTGGTCTGGTAACCCGTTCTGAACCGTGCGTCTTGGTGTTCCCCATGCCTTGACTAGGATTAATTTCGGACATAGATTTGTTGCGTGCCTCTGCCTTCAATTGGATGATACCGTTACTTTTCAGAATCTCGAGTCATTTGACATGGCAAAGGAGACAAAGCAAGCACCAACTGCGGTTGAACTGTGCCGCAGCATGGTGTTCAACTCGTCACTGACGTGAGTTACCGATACTTTGTATCTGACTCTCTTTATTGCCTCGACACGATGTCCCGTTCTGTTTCGAGCCCTTAGTTGTGCTCCAAAGTACGTATGTATGACGCCTTCAACAGACAGGTGATCTCAAGCTGGCTGAAGTAGGTCAGTATTTGTTCTACTTGCTTTGCTCGGGTTCCGACAAGAGCGAACTCGGGCATAACCTACCTCCTTGTAAAACCGATTATACCCATGGTAGAAAAAGGGAAGGAAACGCATCCTTGGAGTTTGGACTCGCAAGCAGTGAGCATCTTGTGGTCTTTGTATGTTTTACTTCCAATGTGTTTGTGTTGCGCTCTCTTTCGCGGAGAGAGACAAGTATTATACATGCTGCATGTTGTCCCCATCATTTCAATCGCTCGGAATTTGATGGTCATGGATGAAACTGTACACAAGAACAAGCAGTAAATAGTCTTAAATATTTCTTTGTGAAACATGGATGGCTTATATATTCGACACTCTCAAATTAGGGTAGTAGTGGTGGAGTGACTATTTGCACCGAACACCCGGCCCATTCTACTAATATTCTTACCATTATCTGCTTGTTTTTTTGTGCTTCGATACGAGTTTATGCTCAGCTTCTACGACAATTGGGACTAATGTTAAGGCTTATGGCCGCTTCTCCGGTGACGACACGAGTGTAGTCAAGCTTGTGGCGTTGGTTATGCTTGTCGCTTCAATTACAGATCGCAGGCGAATATGCATCGTGCAGAAGTGTATGTGCGTCCTATGCACAGATCGGCCTCAAGGCCTGTGGATCGGTGAATCTTTCGGCATTGAGTTTTGTACACTTGTGTTTGGAGGCGTCAAAGATCCAGAACGCATTATTGAAGAAAACTGTAGAATGATACATGGCAAAAAAAAGACGGAAGCGGCCAACACAACAAACTACAATAAGAATGGTGAGTGATTTGACCAAGCCGGCCTTCCGAAGTCTTCAAGAAGTTCTTGAAAAGTTGTTTAACTATCGCAATGATGTATTCGACATGTTCAGGCCTTCATGTGACTACGTTGTGAATATACTACTACATCTACATTTTTGCATTTAGATGGATCGTCATGCGATCCAGTCTCTTCACACCTTTGCAACCTTCTGCTTTAGACCATCATTGATATCCATACTTATCACAGGAAGGTAAAAGCAGCGATAACGCACTGGAATTAAAACAGGTCACAGATGATTCCCGTTTTGGCAAGAAGGCAATGGATGTAAAATTGGTCAGGAAGTCATGGCACTTTTTCCTACCAAAAAACGAAAGTCCTGGAGGAATGCGGCCGAGGTTCTAGTGGGTATAAGTTAACTCACACATTGTGCGTGATGGCATTTCCTACGGGGTGGCCCCAGGCTTGACTATCTGATACACGGAACAAATCTTTTTCCCCGGACACGAAGGTCGACCGTTGTGGACTGTTGATGATCCTACAGTGATAACAAAAAATGGCATCGTGGAAATTTTGGCAAACCTGATGTCGCCAGCTCGAGATCAAGACGTCATTGCTGTAAAGTTGTGACGAAAACCAGTGGAAAAACTACACCATTGGACATGGGTCATCAAATCCTCTGGTCTTCTCACCCTTTTTCACCTTCCACCGTAATCCACAATCAATATCCATAGTGGTGTCTTCGTCATATAACATGTCCAACTCTTCTTTCGGTGATTAAGCTTGGATGAAACAGTTTACTGCACCACAACCCTCCTCTTGTGCATATTGTATTTGTTCCTCATCGGACACCGGGGTTCTGTAACGATGCCATACACCACCAGCTGGGATGTCAGGATATATTGAGTTGTTGTTAGGTCCTTTGTAATATACTCCAGTTTTGAGCACTGTACGAATGTCATGATGAAAATCTTGACGAAGGTCTGGATGTTCCCATTGTTCTTGGAAAGAAAGGTCGGTAGCCAGAAATGAAGCCCTACCCCAGTCAATTAGAACCGGAAAATTAGTCTCCACTCTAAGGATGATATTTCCAACATGTACATCATTGTGACTAACACCATAGCGGCGAAGACGCCGCCCAAGTTCCAGGATACGTTGAGAGATGACCTCAGCTTCCTCAATGGTGATATTGACGCCAGGCCTCGAGGACGACGTCGGCCGTCCAGGTATATATTCAACCATCAGGCCACGAATATAATTTAGAGACGGATGGGGAGACTTGGTCAGCATATTGATTTTCGCGATACCAAAGAAACGGGGAACAAGCCCATGTGTCTGCGCCTCAGCGAGACGTCTGTATACCTTGCATTCCTTGAAATGAGAGATCTCGACCTGCTCCCAGAACTGTAGAAGATACATCCATGGCAAAAGCTCCTCATCTGGGTCAAGTTTGATAGATACCCCAAATCGGCTATCATGCGATTGAATTTTCGATTGATGGTCCTCTTTCTTGTCCGGATTCCAATAGTGATGAGCACGACGATCTGTTAACTTCAGAAGAAAGCAGGGTAGGAGAATTGTACTGTGAGAATTGACCAAAAGGGCGATCGAGTTGGTACAAGAGGTGAATGCTTTTACAATTTGCACTTCTGAAAATTGTCCACTTTCGGAAATAGCAAACTTGAGACAGTTTCCAGGCTTATAAATGTCGATGGAGATCTTATGGGAATGGACAAACCCTTGATACTGGAGGCAGGGAGCTTGCCAATACCACTCATTATGTGTTTATGTGTGGCTTGTTGCATGTGATTCACAAACAAAAAGAAAAGTGGTCATCTATTATGTAAGCCCCCCAGTTTCGTTGGACAAAATCCTTCTTTTGCTTTTCCTGGGATTTTCTTGTTTTACATGAGACATGCAATAACTTGAGCCTTCCAAAAAAGTCCAATCCTGATTAGAGCAAAATGACGTTCATCTACCCCAAAGTTCGTACAAAACTCTCCAGGATATGGAGACCATGATTTAATCCAAATGGAGGCAAAGGTCCTTCTACGGACATCAAGACACACGTCGACCTGAAGGCTGAACTGCTCGAGACACCTTGAGGAATGACCGCACTGGTGTTACTCCTCCCGATCATGGCAGACCCAGCTCCTTCCAGAAGAAAGGACTCCATCAATGCAATGCGGCTATCCAGCTAGGCAACCTTCGTGGCATGCTGGTGGTTCAGACATTCTTGCCAAATGTTTGAATCGAACATGTCCATCATGTAATGTACCTGTGATTGACGAGAGTACATTTACTTTCACAAACCGCCGGATACACGTATGATTTAGAACACTATGCCGGGGGTCAGAGACCACAGACTGAGTGATTAGAAATTCGGGTGAGTCCGCAAAGTGAATGCTTTACAAATGTGTTTGCTTTCTTGTACACCAAGTTTTCTACAAGCTCTGGGTTTCATCATTGGAATACGAAGGCGCGAGGACCCAGCAGCAATTTGTGTGTTCATCTTGGCCTCTGCATGTTTGAACGTACATGTAGCAGACAAAGCATAGTATCTGAGATTGACAAGTGGATAATTAATTTTCCGGATAAGGAACTGAGTATATATCACACACTTGTTTGAAACTGCTAGGTTCGGGGCCAACTCGAGGTGTTTGAATCGAGGAATCGACTGAGAAACATTGATTAGAAGGGATAGTGCTCGAAAAAAGCTCAATTGATGCAAAAGGACACGAATAAAAATTGTTCCTGTTATATATATATATATATATATATAATCACGAATACTAAGTAGTTTGTGTTCCAGACATGTTCCAGATCAATTTTCGGTTCTGCTGTGTCAAGTTCTGAGAGCAAAGTCTTGTCAAAGTCCTAGAATATCAATCGTGATTATTGGCAAAAATCCTTACCTTGAGTAGCATCTCTCAATGACATATATCGTACCTGTAATACATGAGAGCACAAGGATTATTCTAATGGAACTGTGTATTTAAGCGCCATGCGGCATTGCCAAAAAAGGGTGCTGCCCAACGATGTTTGGTCCATTTACATCTCGGAAGAGTGATTTACGGCATGAAATTTATGTAGCCACTACTTCATGGCGTACCCTCAAGATCTTGAAGTCACCGTGTAGAAAGTATATATTTAAAAGTTAAAACGCAAGCGCGGCTGGTGGAGTTCAGAACATCAAAATAATCCAAATATAGAAAAGCTCCCTCTAAAATACCTCGCTCTGGGACTATATTAGCTGGCGACCGCCTGTAGTTCCAGCGCCACAAAGTCAAAAAGGTATTAAAATAAGGAAAAAAGGCGCTGCCAGGAATCGAACCTGGGTTTCAAGAAATAAGTAGGTATCAGAATCTTGAGTGATAACCGCTACACTACAGCGCCTTCACATTGTAAAATAGCCTTTCTAACTATTGCTCGGATGGACTGATCCAATACAGGAGAATTGGGCATGTTTGAAAGAGGAAGGCAGAGCTGGTGCTCGATAGACAACGCCGGCGCGCACCTCCATGTCTGGTTCCGAGCCGGGAGTTGCCGTAGTGTGCTGTACAGTACAGAGAGTTAAGGTTCCGGGTGGCTTCATTACGTAAGATTGAGTCGAAGTGCAGTTTAGTGTCAGGGCTCCATCGACGATATCCTCAAGACCAAGGTAGGCCCTGCTAGCTGTTGCGCTCGTTGCCAACGCTAACATTTTCCTTAGACCCGACACGCAAGATGGGTGTGTGCTTTTTATATCACTGATGTTCATTTTCCAGGCTAAACCTCTCCCAGTCAATCTCCGGTCACAAAAGCGCCTCGCCGCAAGCGTCGCCGGCGTCGGCAAACGCAAAATCTGGCTCGACCCCGCTGAGCAGGCCGAGATTGGAAATGCCAACTCCCGCACACACGTTAAAAAGCTCATTAAGGACGGCCGTGTGATCATCAAGCCCACCACTATCCACTCTCGCGCTCGTACGAAGGATCTCCTTGCTGCTAAGCGCAAGGGTCGTCACACCGGCACTGGTAAGAGAAAGGGTACTGCTGAGGCTCGTATGCCTTCGAAGGTTCTGTGGATGAGGAGACAGAGGGTTCTCAGGCGGCTGTTGAGGAAGTACAGAGAGGCGGGCAAGATTGACAAACACTTGTGATTTGCCTCCTTCTTGGGTACTTTTTCCAGTGTGCTGATATTCATGAAGGTACCACTCCCTTTACCAAAAATCCAAGGGTAATGTCTTCAAGAACAAGCGTGTTCTTATGGAGTACATCCACAAGGCCAAGGCTGAGAAAAACCGCACCAAGGTCCTCACCGACCAAATGGAGGCCCGCCGCATCAAGAACAAGGTCGGTTGAATTATCATGTTTCCACCGGTGCTTTCTTACATTGATGTACAATTCCAGGCCGCTCGGGAACGTCGCGCTGCGCGTATGCAGGAGAAGCGCCAGGGAATCCTCAACGTCGAGAACGAGGCCGCTGTCCAGGAGTAAACTACCATTGCTTACTTTCTACGCTGTTTACCTACCTTTATCTTACAACGCCATCCATGTCTCATTCTTTGACAACCAACGGGCTCACCACATACGCACGCCCCACAGCTGCCTCTATGTTATGCAACATATACGATATGTCAGGAATGAATATGTTGCACTCAACAAACATTCATCTTTGTAATGATTCTCGAAGAGATGATCTTAACAAGCTTTGAGAAGTTGACGTCCGCTAAGCTTGATTATTTTATCTTCCTGCCAGTTTTAAACCATTCCAAATGTGAATATACTCGTCATCTTCAAATGCCAGCACTCAGTCAACGTTGAACATTGAAAGCCGCACTATCATCATCAAAATTGAGCTGATTTGGAAATTTCCCATGTGGCGCTGACGGAAACGTTACAGCCCGCTTCTCCTCTTGCTCGTGCCTTCATGCCGGCGACGCACCTCGTCGCTCTGCCCGATCGAACAGTCTACTCGGTCGCCGCGCTCAACGGCGGTGAGCCGCGTGAGTATGTTTCGGCCTCGGTCCTCGCGTATCTAACACGAGGCCGCTTATTCCTCCGGATTTGACAGGCCCGGCTCACATTCTCCAGCACCGGGACAGAGAAGTCTACGTTCACTACATTGGTGCCGATAAAAGGCTAGACGAGTGGGTGGCTGAAGAACGGTGCTTCATTCCTACCCCAAATCCTCCACCTTTTCGTGCAAGCTTGGACCCCACTTTTCATTCGCACCCAGCAGGCCCTTCAACGACGAATCGACAACCACAATTCGGGGTATTCTCGCTAGCGACTGGGAAGAGCGTTAGCGTTCTCGCGGGTCCAGGCTTGCTCGTTGGACCAGGTGTTGCGGGAAGATTAAGTGCATCGACATCAACGATTGGAGACGCGCAAGACATGGCGATTGATGGGAATCTATCATCGTCGAAAAGCACGACGGGCCTTAAGCGTAAGCGTGGCCGTCCACCTCGCAATCCACAGCCACAACAGCAAATTCAGGTGAACCAAACCGCGTCTACCTCAGCGGCCCCTGCGCAGATGCTTCCGCCAGGGCAGAAGGCGCAAACGTCAACACCGAGAGAGATGGTGATGACGGAGGAGGAGTATGACATCCACCAACACAAGCAGATAACAGCGAACAGGAACTTTGAGTATGTGTATTTCGGGGAGTGGCAGGTCAAGACTTGGTGCGTGCTGTTCTGATCAACATATCTCTTCTTATAATCCTGAAAACGCTCGGGTTGTTCATGTCCTGTTTAGGTATTTCTCTCCTTACCCCCTTACGGAAACCGAGATTGATGACCCCACCTCGTCCGATGCGACCCCTAAGATTCCGGGCGTGACGAAAGCCACTGCACGCTCGCATGGGCGTACGTCGGATCTGCTTGCGGGGGGACTGTTGCGTGGAGCAACAGGGCCAGGAACGGAGAAAGCGCAGCTTTGGGTTTGCCAACAGTGCTTTAAGTATATGTCGGAGTGGGCACTGTATGAGAATCATACGAGGTTCTGCACGGTGGACTATCCGCCTGGGAGGAGGGTGTATCAGCGTGGAGCACACACAATTTGGGAGGTCGATGGGGCACAACAGAAGGTGTGGAGGCTTCTTTTAGGCTTCTGCTTGTATTTGACGTTCAGTATTGCGCAGTTGTATTGTCAGAATCTTGCTCTGTTCGGAAAATTGTTCATCGACGTGAAAACACTTTTCTTTGACCTGGATAATTGTGAGCTCTCACTGCCCCTTGTATCGTTCTCAGTCCTGATGTGTCATAGTCCTATTTTACATTTTGACCGAAAGTACGACAAAACAGGATCATATACTGGGGTACTTTTCCAAGGCATGCCCCCTCATTATCTTGCTTTGCATTGCATTCTCACATCCACAAAATAGGAGAAAAACTCTTACGATGAATATAATCTTGCAACTATCATGACTCTTCCGCCGTACCAACGCAAGGGTTATGGCATGCTAATGATCGAGTTCAGTAAGTCCTAGATCCTTTAAACTGTCCGTTGGATCCTCATCTGCTCCGGTGCAGGCTATGAACTTTCGCGTCGTACGGGCAAAATTGGCACACCCGAGCGCCCACTTTCTGACCTTGGTCTGAGAAGTTATCTAGCGTACTGGGTTTCGACCCTTATACGTTTCTTCAGGTATATTGGCCTCCTCATCTCAATTTTCGATGCTAACCTCCCGTCAGACATGTGTTATCAGTCCTTCCTTCTAACACCCTGCGGATCACTCATCTCGGCCAGTTCCCCGGCTTGCAACGTACGTCGTCTAGCGAGTCAGATGATAGTGGAAGCGGGGCATCAAGCTCTCCAGGCAATGGGAATGGCAGTAGTAATGGTAACGGCAGCAACAACGGTAATCAGGCTGCCAATGCGAATGGAAATTTAAATGGAAGTACCGCGCCGAGAAAGAAGAAGAACAAACTAAAGGGATGGGCTGGCGAGGTGGAAGATGCTAATGTCGATCAAGAGGAGGTACCCTTCTTGTGCGATGGTGTGTCTCGTCTGCTTTGTTCGGTCGTCTGTGCTAATAGTAGAGGTCGGTAGACCCGATGTTCTCGACGCATCGTCCACTTGTGACGGAGCACAGCGAGGATGGGAGCGCAGCGACACACGTGATGGTTAGCTGTCAGCTTGCTGACATTGCTCGAGCGACAAATCTTCGTGTCGACGACGCGGCGTTTGCCTTAAATGAGGTTGGACTCTTGGCTATGCGAATAGCGTCGGAGGGGGATGATGGAGACGATGGTGATAAAATGGGAACGGTAGTGTTGACTAGGGCAATGGTGGAGAAGGTTGCGACAGAGAGAAGCGTGAAGAGGCCGTGTATGCGAATGCCGTTTGTTAGGCTGCCGTGAATATTAAAATACTGAAACCTGCACAGATCAACCTTACTTAGCTTTTACATTATTCGATTTCATGTCTGGGCTTCCTATTACATACTTGCAATATAGAATCTGATAATACGTTGTCATGGTGAGATATTGCCTCGGTAAAGGTACTCCTATTACTATGGTCGGTTGCTTCATACTGACAGCTTATTCTTCGAAAGTATTGACGTGTGCCCGTTGTCATTATGGTAAGCTAATTTAACACTCATACATAAGATCAATCAACGTTCTAATATGGGATCGCGTTGGTCTACTCTCTCCTACGTGTGCCCCTGCACCCCACAATAGCTAGTTACTTTTTGAAACTTCGTGCGCCACCCGTTAAGTTATCTTTGTTGTGGTGACGTCTTTCTTTCTCGTAGTTAGAAACATTGTCACACTGATAGTCTTTGCCTCCTGTTTTCAGTTTCAAGGCCTCTGATTATCCACTCGCGCCGCACGTCCAATGGGTATGGTCGTTGCTCCCACCTATGTGAGAGCTTATGTCTCGTCTGACATCTTACCAGTTAGCTCCACTAAAGAAATACGTGAAGAAGTACACCCTGCGTCTGACCGAGGAAGGCATCGCCAACTGGTCAGAATCCTTAAACAGCGAGCAGCTGAGGTTGCATCCTTTTTCAAGCCTTCCTCCATGACCGCGATCAGTGCCATGTCTCCGGGCGACAAATTTGACGAAAGAAATCATTCAGATGAGAGGCATCGACGACACTCAGATATTAAAACAGACATGGAGCGGAATGTGTTGAGGCGGCGAGGTTACAAGCACTTGAATTAAATTGCTCATGCTTTATGTGTTCGTCCGCACTGGGAGTCTGAGAACAAGAAGCATATGTAAGACCCGGCACAGGTACCTCAGCGTGCTTTCGAATTCATGTTGATGTTGAAAGGACATGCGGGGGGTCCTTTAAAGTAAGATATCCATGCGCCACGCTGACTTTGTCCAAAGATACAGTAATCACAAGGGCTGTTTTGGTTTTAAGGGCGCTGTAGTGTAGCGGTTATCACTCGAGATTCTGA